CCCATCCATCCGCCCATCCATCCACCCATCCATCCTCTAGTCATCCATCTACTATATCTGTTCAACCATGTGCTCACCCACCCATCCATTCTCCATTCATCCATCCACCCCTCTCCATAGTCATCCACCCATCTGTCCACTTATCTATCCCTTAATCCACCCAACCATCCATTGGCTTATTGAGCCATCCATCCATCAGTCCATCCATGCGTGCCCCCATCTCTATATTCCATCCCTTTATATCCCCTTCCACACCCCCATCCATCCATCGGAATTTATTTATCTGGCATCTGCAACAAGCCAGATAAATGTTCTTGGGGCTGGAATACAGTGGTGTTGTCAAGGACCTAACATTCTAGAAATAGGAAGATAACAAATAAGTATGGTATTTCAGGTGGTGCAAAATGTCATAGAAAATAAAGCAGGGAAATAGAATTGAGAATGATGTCGGTGTCCTAGTTTAAATAGGGTAGTCAGCTAAGGCCTCTCTGAAGAGGGGCTATCTGAGCAGAGATCTGAATGAAGTGAGGGAGAAAGCCATGGGAAAATCTGGAAGAAGAGCATTCTAGACTGAGGGAACACCAAGTATAAAGGCCCTGAAGTAGGACAGTTTTTGGTATGTTTGAACAACTACGAATATGAATAACTAGTACTTACTAAATGTCAGAAACTGTTTTAAGAACTTTATATGTATTTTCTCATTTAAATCTTACAACAACCCTGTAACATATTACTTGCATCATCTTCCAAGGTGCAGAGAGGTTAAGAAACTTTCTCGTGGTCACACAGCAAGTAAGAGGCAGAGCTGATATGGTTAGAGTGAGGGCTTTAAATCACTGTGCTAATCAGTCTGGAGGCCAGAGGGGTTGGAGCCAGGAGAAGAAGGCAGGGGCCAAACCACGTGGGGCTCTGCAGCTCTTGAGGACAATGATGAGTTTCATTCTCAGTGGATGGACAAAGATGAGTTTCATCTTTGGTAGCTTCAGCTAGGAGTGAGGTGATCTATTTTTAATTTTTAAAAGATTGCTTTTAGTGATGTACAGAGATGCTAAGTGAGGTTGGTGTAGCCCACCCAATGTCCATTCATCCCTTCTTCTTTGGTATCAAGACTATATCCAGCTAAAAGATTACATTTCCCAGCCTTTCCTGCAGCTACAGGTGGCTAATAGGACAGAAGAGGTACTTTTTCAGTGGGACTTTGAGAAAAGCTCTCCAAGAAGTGGGTAGGGAGAGACAGACTGCTGGCTAGTACCTTTTTTGCCCATCCTTCTTGTTCTTTTACTTCTTGCCTGGAATGCAAATGTTATGGCTGGTGCTCCAACAGCCATTTTGGAACACAGAGGAGGGGTGACCATGAGGATGTAAGCTACACACTGACATAGTAGAACAAAATATAGAAGGAGCCTGGGTCTCCAATAACAGTAAACCTGCCATATCAACAATGGATTGTCAATCTCCAGACTTTTGTATGTGATAGGAAAAAAAATCCTGACAATGTCTAACTTAGTGAAAGTTTCTATTTCTAGCACTAAAAGCAGACAGCAAGAGAGAATCCAGGTTGGGAGGCTAGTACAAGGGTCCAGATGAGAGTGGTAATGACAGACTGAAGAGGAAATGCCATAGAGCAGGGAGCTGCAGGTAACATAAATGAGTAAAATGGGCTTCATGTAAGACAACAAGGGACGGTGGGGTCTGTGGCAAACTGGAAAGCTCATGCCTCATCTGAGGTCACAATGCAGCTCTAGGTATTGTTAACACATGAGAATGCAGAATCTCTGGCAAATGATGAGAAGGGTAGCTGCCATTTCATGACTGCTCCCTCTGTGCCAGGCTTAATGTAAGATATTTTTGCATCATTTCATGTAATCCTCACAACAACCTTATAAGGTAGGTATTATTAATAGCTCTATTTGACAGATAAAGAAATTGGAATATAGAAAAATCAAAAGCTGCCAGATTTGTTTGAGAAGAAAAACCAAGAGCTCATTTTTTTAAAAAGAGAAGCCAGAAAACCAGATTTTTATAAACTCTCTTCTGATTTTTAAATGCTATTCCAAGAATGTATTAAAATATGGTTTGGGCCAGACAAAACAAATCTCGAAATGCAGCCCGTTGGCACCAGTTTCCAACTGCTTCTATATGGAAACAAATCTTCAAGGAAAAGAGAGTTCTGAGGATAGTGAACATTTATTACTTTTTCTGTGTACCTGGAATCTTTTCATTTGGGGAAGAGCCCCTTTGCCACTGGTGGGGCTGCCAGTCACATGTCCCTACCACCCACACATAGGGATGGGCAAGTGACACAGTCTGGGTCATTCAAGGAATTGCTATGCATACAATGGAAAAAGGACTCTATTTTTGAGAATGTCAAGTTGCAGAAACAAAATGGCCATTGGTGATGCTCTACAGAGGCCTTTATGAGAATGAAACCAACACAAACAAAAAGAGAGCCAAAAGATAATAAGAACAAGAAACAGAGACCCAGTAGTATTGCATGAACCCCTGGATCTAGCAGTACCTGAAGCTTACTTACTCAAGCCACTGGATTCTCCAGTTACATGAGCCAAAAAATATTCCTTGTTCCTTAATCCAAATCCAGTTGGTTTATGTAAATTATAATTAAAAAGCTCCCAATTAATATACTAGGTAACAGAATTCCCAGATTCATGGAATGAACCTGAAATCTCTCTATCTTGGTTGAGGAAAGTATGCTTTCTTCCTCCGGGTGGGAGAGGAAACTACTTTTTTTGTTGTTAATTGAGGAACTTGTAGGACTCCAAAGTCATTTTTATATACACAGTAGTGAGGAAAGGACAGTGCTTTAGATATTAGGAAAACAAGGTTCTTTTCTGCTTTGTGACAGTTCTGTTTAACTTATTATGTGACACAAGGCCGGTCTCTTTCCCTTTCTGGGCTGTAGGAGCTAGTCTCTAAAGATGACGCCCAGTGAACCATGCCTCCTGGTATTTACGCCTTTATGTGGTTTCCTCTCACACTCAATCTCGGTAGCTCTGTGACTAGTTTTAAGCACTGGATTATGGCTGAAGTGATACTGTATCAGTCCTGGGCCTAGTCCTTGAGGAATTTCTACTTTTTATGTTTTTGGGGGAGCCTCAAGCCACCATGTAAGAAGTCTGGCTACCCCCTGTGACATGGAGAAACCATGTGGAGAGGCCTTTAGACAATAAAGGCAGAGAGAGAGGCCCAGCCATGCCAGAATCCTAGATAGGACTCCAAATGATGTCAACTGCAGTCGCCATCTGACTGCAGTTTCGTAAGAGACCTGAACAGACAGCAGCAGAGGAACCACCCAGCTGAGCCCATTCAACCCAGAGAACTATTACATATAATAAAACGGTTGTTTTTAGAGGACACTAAGTTTTGGGGTGTTTTGTTACACTGCAATAGATAATAGAAATATGAGTCTGTCTTTGCCCATGTATAAAATGAGGAAACATTACTACATCAGTCTCTTCCAAAGTGTTCATGACACATTGAAAAAAGATTTGTTTCAACATCTATTTACCAATAGATAAAGTCACCATTCAAGCATTTTTCTCCTTTAAGGTGGAATAGAGATTTCCGAGTGCACGGTGAGTGAGCACAAGGTCAGTTAGTGGAAGTCAGGAGAGCGTGCCACGACCCAGCCACCTCATCACTCAGGAAACACTAAACTGCACCATGGTGCTGACTTCTGTATCTTACACTGTGGGGCTTTTAGTCCTAGGTTAATTTATATCCAAGTGGACCACTGGCTAAAGATGAAAAATGGAGAGGATAATAAATGAGGAGGAGCTCAAAAATAACAATAATTTTGTAAAATCCTTCCTAAATCCAAAGAAATAGGTGCTTCATTATTCCCATTTTATAGATGAACAAACTAATGAAGAAGGTAGAAAATTCTTGGCTGAATGTGAGGATGTGAGAAGTCTTGGTCTCGTTTTGTTTTGGTTTTGGTAGATTTGGGTTTTTTTTTTTTTTGTCATTTGCTTCTTTTTCCTTCCCAGCCCGGACGATTGCAGTTATCTGAGAGTTCTGGTTATTAAGGGTGTTCTTAAGCTTCTCTGCTACACACCCTCCGTGCATACCTCGCTCTGTGCTCACCCTCAGCTGCACTTGAACTCGCAGTCTCAGTTTGCTCATATATAAACGGGGACGATGATACCCACCCTAGCTGCTCCCAGAGCTGGTGGGAAGATGAAATGAAACAGGTGTTAGGGTGTGAAGTCTGTATGTGGGGGAGAAAGAATTCTCAACGAACTTTAGGATAGACAGAAGCGCTAAGTTTTATTTACTCTCTCTCCGAAGACAGAGGAGGCACGGCGCCAGAAAATGAACTGAGGTGCTGGCCCTAAGGCCAAACGACGCTAACTTTTTATTAGGGCAGGCTGAGGAGGGGTTGGGGTGAGGATTTACGACTGTAGAAGCTAGGAAAATTAAAACATGAACCCAAGGAACAAATGGAATTAATGAATATGAAAGCAGATGTTAATGAAATGGAAAAAATAGAACCACACCACCAACAGGACAGCTGATCACTAAAACTCAAGTTGGTTCTTTGACATGACTAAGAAAACAGACAACGCTTTGGCAAGTGTGATCAAGGGGGAAAGACAGAAATAGAAACAGCATCGGGAATGGCGAAGGGTACAGGGGAAAGAGAAAGCAGAAGCCATTTTCAACAATGGAGGCACAGACAGCAGCTTGCAGATAGACAGGTTTAGCCTCTCCCAACTCACACGCTCTCTCCCTCCTGCTTCTGAAACCCTTATGTACATTTGGATGTGGGGTGAGCTTCCCCTCTCTCAGGGTCTCTGCATTTGCAGACCACTGTAACCCAACAGGTGAACCTTGCAACGGTTTGCTGTGTGTCTCTCGTGAAAGCAGTAGAGTGGGATGCTTGTAAGTTCCAGCTGAGAGCTTCTGCTCTGAAAAGGTGAACTTGTTCACATTTATCGCGATTACTGATGCGCTTGAATTTGCTTGTCCCATTTACTTTCGTGTCTTCTCTTCACTGTTCTATCAAGATACTTCTTTATTCCTCTGTTTCTGCTTTTGATGGATCCATTAAGGTTTTCATGTTCCATTTTTCCACCACCGATTTGAGCGCTATACTTCCTGTTTCTTTTCTTCTTAGAGCAGCACTATCTCGCAGAATCCCCCGCAGTGTTGGGAATTTCTCCATCTACGCTGTCCCATGTGGTGGTTACCAGCCACCTGTGGGTCCTGAGCACTGGAGATTTGGCTAATGTGATGGAGGGACTGAATTTTTAATTTTTTAAAATTTTAAAATTTTAATCAATTTACACATAAAAATAGCCACATGTGGCTAATGCCTACCCCATTGGCAGTGTAGCTGTACAGGTTGCTCTTAATTTTCAATTTACACACTTAAATTTATACATTTCTGGAAGCATCTAGAGTAATCCAGCAGTATCAATCTGACTCACCCCCCCCACCCCCGGCCCAGATCTGAGAGGAACATTTTTAATACTATAGCCAGATGTACGGAGTGTTTTCCCTGGATCAGGCACTGCTTTGAGCACTTTAAGTTTAATAACCCATTTAATTCTCACCGCAACTTTATGAGGCAGGCTCTTGTGTTATTTATGAATGAATAAACCGATCATCAGAGAGGTGAGCTTGCCTTGCCGAAGGTCAGAAGCAGCAGTAAGCAGCTGAGGCTCTAATCAAAGCCAGGCAGTCGGCTCCCCGGGCCATACTCTCGACCACCCCATTATCAAACCGTGGTGTAATATGATTTCGCTCTGTTCTCCCTCACTTCTGCGTCTTCCCAGATCTGTTAGGCAGTTCTCGTGCATGGGGAGGGGTTCCATGTGGAGGAACATTCCCCGCCCACCCCTTTCTGCTTGGCCTTCTCCCCTTCCACCCCTTCCCCCAGGGAAATAACCCCCTTCCAACCCCAGCTGGCCTTGTGCTTCCTGTTCTGATGCCAGTAAACATCCCGGAAGATTACGCTGCCCAGACCCCGCTCCGTCTTCACCTCCCTTTGGCCCCCTCCCACCTCCCTCATTCCTGGTTTACTCCCAGAAAGGAAGGTTCTTCCAGGCCGTGGGGGGCAATTGAGGTGAAAGCACAGAATCTGCTTGCCATTTCCTGGGTTCCTCTCGAGGAACTCAGCCAGGGGGCTCGGAGGCCAAGCTGAGTTCCATGGGGTCTGCTGGGAAACACATCAGTGCAGATTTGGGTCACGGTGGTAAGACAACAATAAAACTACAAGTGAAATAAAATGGAAATCATAACAGGTATCAGCTGTGGAGCACTTCCTCTGTCAAAGACTTTACGTGCCTTCTCACACTTCATCCTCATAACAACCCTCAATGGGACCGCGACAGCTACAACTATCCCATTTTACAGATGGGGAAAGTAAGGCGCAGAGTGTTCTCACAGCTAGGAGGCAACAGGATCAGGAAGGAAATGGTGACCCACAGGACTCCCAATCCATGTACTTAAGAACTTTGCTGTACTGACCTACTAGCAAGAAAGGCCAATCAGAGACAGGTGGGGGGGTGGGAGACAGCAGGTGGGGAGGAGGCAGAGATTGAAGGGAAAGAGCTGTCAGGAAAACCCAAAGGGACAAAGCACGGTGAAGTGATACTGTCCCGAGGAGCTATAAAAGGAGCCCCAGAGGAGTCGGAACACCTTTGCTCCCAGCACACATCATACACTCTCACGCTGCTCCGCCTCTGCACGTGCTGGTCCTTCTGCTTGCACCACTCTTGTTCCCCAAAGAAAGGGTCCCTTTGTTCCCCTACTCTCCCTCTTCAGCCCCAGATGCCATGTCACCTCCCCAGGGAGCCTGCAGTTATACACGTCTATTATTTGGCCTCCATTCCTTTGCTTCCCATTGTCCCAGTTCTCCTGGTTTGGGTGGAGATGACCGCCCCCACCTCCGCCCCCAGCGCCCAGCCCCAGGGTTGTGTCCATGACCCAGATCTGATCGGTCAGCAGATTCCCGGGCCCTGGGCAGAGGTGAATGCCACACGGCTGAACCTGGGCCAATGAGAGTCAGCCTAGGGGTGTTTGCTCACTGGGGGTGTGGGGTGCTGAGCTGCTAGTTTACCTGCCTGGAGCAGCTGGGGGCATCTTCCGCCTGAGGAATTCCAGACATTGTCTGAGCCTCTGGATCCAACCACACCTGAAGCCATGGACTTCTCAGTGACCAATAAGACTCTTTTTTTGCTTCAGCTAGTGTGAGAGGGGCCCTGACTAATTCCTGTACGTCTTCCTCGACTCTCCAAGCCACATTTTCACTTCCAACCAACTCTGCATGCACAGAGGCACAGAGAGGTGAAGACATTTGCCCAAGGTGACACAGTTTGTAAGTGACAGAGCAGGGACTTGAACTCGGGCAGTTTGACTCCCGAGTCCCAGTGTTGGGTGTGATAAAAAACAAAAGCCCATGTTAACTGACCATTTACCGTGTGCGGGTGGTGAGCTGAGCACTTTAAGTTCATTTTCTCACATCATTCCCATGGCTGCCCTAGGATAAGGGTATCTTATAGTGATAATCGGAACGCAGTTCTGAGACCAAAGTCTACAAACAGAGCCCAGTCCCTGGACCCTGCTATGAGGAGAGCAGCCTAGGGACTCGGGAGGACAGGCTCAGGGAAAGTGTGCCGTGGCGGTTAAGGGGATGAACTCTGGAGTCAGATTTGGAGTTGGTCACCAGTTGTGCTGGGTGGTGCAGTGGTTAGAACACAGACTAGTGCCAGAGTGCTGGGGTTCCACTCCAGCTTCTCCTCTCCATAGCTATGTGACCTCAGGGCACTCACTTAACCTCTCTGAGCCTCCCCATCTATGAATGGGATAATAATACTTACTTCATATGCCTACCTATGTCACAGCCGGTGTTAGCTATTATGATTCTCCATAGAACCCAGAATGAGCTTTTAAAAGATAATTCAGGTCATGCCTCCCACAGCAGCTTAACACCCTCCTCCAGCTTCTTATGTAATTTGGAATAAACTACAAACTTCTCACCATGGGCTACAAAGCCCTGCATGATCTGGCCCCTGCTCAATTCTCTGATGTCCCTGATGTCCCTTTGAGCCCTCTCCCCTCGCCCACTGTGCTCCAGCCACCCTGGCCTGCATCACACCAGCTCATCCCTGCCTCAGGAACTTTGCACTTGCTGTTCCTGCCACCTGGAAGCTGTTCCCCCAGATCTGAGCAAGGCCACTTCTGAGTAAGGTCTCAGCTCCAATGTCACCTTACGAGGGGAGGCCTACTCTGCCCACCTACCCTAGGAACCCACCTTCCCTGGCCTTCACACGACCTCGTTTGATCTGTCCACAACGCTTATTGTTCTCTGAAATCATCTTATTCATAAACTCGTTTATCCAGCTCCTCAATCAGACTGTCAGCTCCATGAGAGAGGGGAGTATTGTCTATTCTGTTCACTGCTGAGTCCCCACCCCCTAAGCCTGCGGTCCCCAACTCCCCAGCAAGCAAACTGGTACTGGGCCCCGGCCTGTTAGGAACCAGCCGCAGAGCTCTGCCAACCCCCCGCCCCACTCCCTGTCCGTGTTAAAATTGTCTTCCATGAAACTTAGGAGGGGGGGTCGCAGAAGTGGCATCGAGCAAGGGAAGCTTCATCTGTATCGACAGCCGCTCCCCCCCCTCACATCACCACCCGAGCTCCGCCTCCCCGCCCCCGCCATCGCCCCCACCCCGTCCCGTCTATGGAAAAATTGTCTTCCATGAAACTGATCCTGGTGCCAAAAAGCTTGGAGTCCGCTGCCTTAAACCAATGCCTAGCACATAGTAGGTGCTCACTAAAGAATGACTGAATGACCCTTTGAGGCTTCTGAATCCAGAGAGAAAAATGGAAATCCTAGTCTCATCTGGCAACAAAGGCATCCCCTTCTCCCCCCCAACCCCCCCAATTCTGTATTAAAATTCCCCCTCTGTCTCCTCCACCAAATCGCCTCCAGGGCAGTACTTCTGCATGTTTTGCTGGCGGGCAGAATTCCCAGGCCCGCAGCAGCGGCCGGGTCAGGAGAGCGCTCAGCGAAGTGATCAGTGACTTTGCTCCTTTTGGAGCCTCCATTTCTTCACCTGCGGAATAGGAACAACTTCGCTCGCCCGGCGGTTGTCAAGACCAAAGCCGCCAGGCAAGTGTCCGGGCCCGAGCAGGCGCCCCCGTATCAAGCAAGGGGCCACTTTTCCCAGGCAGAAAACAGGCGGGAAGGAAGCGCGCCCAGCCCCTTCCCAGCCCGGCCGCGGGCCTGCGCTCCGGGCCTGCCACCCGACTGGCGGCCTCCGGCCGGGCGCTGCGGGGGGCCGCGAGGGGCGCGGAGGGGGTGCCGGGCGGGTGCACACCCGGGAGGGGCCGCGCGCCCCGCGGGCAGCGCCCGATCGGGACTTACCCATGGCGAGCGGGGCTCCGCGGCGTGCTGGGGACCGGGGCGGGCTGGGCGCGCATCCCCCGGGCAGAGTCCCCGCCGCGGCCGCCGGACAAACTTTCCGGCCCGCCTCCCGCCTGCGTCCCTCCCCGCCCGCCCGCAGCGCCGCCACGTCGGCCAGCCCCGGCCCCTGTGCCTGGAGGCGGGACGCAGGGGAGCCCGGGACCGCCCCCGGCAGGCCCCGCCAGGCCGGCACCCCCTCACCACCTGCTGTCCTCCCCTTGGAGGGGCCCATCGGAGGTCCTCCCCAGGGGCACCCTGGCCCGCCGCCCTCTCCTGACCCCACACCGGTAGACCTCCCTGGGGTGCACCCCAGCCCGCTGTCCTCCCTGGGTTCCCCTCCGGCCGTTCTCCCTGGCGAGGGGTCCCCATGCGCTGTCCTCCCCTGGCCTCTTGGCAGGGAGGAGACTCCCCAGTGTCTGCAGGCCACACTTGTCTGACCTCCCCAGCGTGTGTACACACCCGCACCTACACTGAGACACTCTCCCACGGATTCATCATCCATTCGTTCCACTCGGGTTGGGGCACCTACCGTGGGCCAGGCACTAAGCTGGGCTTGGGGTGCTGGAGAAGAGACAGGGTTTTTGTCCTTCTGGAGCTTATATTCTAGTGGGGGAAGATGAAAAATAAATAAGTAAAGGAGCCTGAGAAATACCAGGTCGCAATAAAGAGCAGGCAGAGAATTAAACGAGGGTGGTGGGTTAGGCAGGCACAGGTGGCTGCTTTAGCTCAGCTGGTCTGAGGACAGGACATGTGAGCTGAGACCTGACATTCCAGGCAGAGGAACAGCAGAGGCAAATGCCTTGAGGTGGGAAGGAGCTTGTGGGTATAAGGCCCAACAGAAAGGAAGCCCTGCCCGGAGCATGGGAGTGGACAGGGAGCGTGGAGGGAGACATCCCGGCGAAAGGCTCTGGGAGGCCAGGGTCAGGCATGTGGATTTCGTCCCAGTTGACAGGAGAAAGAACAACTTGGCAATTCTAACAGGTTATAGGAGCAAGGGTGGGCAGAGGGAGACCACGTGGGAGGGAGGCTGTTGCAAGGTGAGAGATGAAGTTGGTTTGGATTCATGTGACAGTGGTAGGGGTGGAGAAAAGTAGGCAGATTGGAGATAGACTCAGTAAGGACTTACAAACTGGAACAGGAGCAGGCTGGGGCTGGAAAATGAGATCTCAAGTTTGGGCCGTATGACCTTCGAGGCACTCATTAGGCATCCATGTGGAAATAGGTGGGCAGTCGCACATGAGCCTGGGGTTTGGCAAAGGGGGCAGGCAAAACACACGCACAAGCTCAGCACTTACGTGGGTGCAGGCTGACCCAGACTCTCAGGGTGTGCTCACACAGAGGCACGCTCACTGGCATGTACCAGGCTGCACCCTCGCCCAGCCATGCTCACGCCAACCCCACCCTACAGGTAGATAAATACGCATCCGTCCATGCTCCGGACACAAAGAGTACCTCGGCAAGGAAGACAGCATCAACAAGAACTTCTTAGGGGATCCCTGTACAGTTCTGCAAATAATAATAGCTGGGGCAGTTTGAAAACATGGCTCCAAAATTCTTTGTTCCCTCCTTGAAATCTAGGTGGGCTAGTGACTGTTTTGACCAGTAGGTTGCAGAGTAACATTGTGTAACTTCTGAGGCTGGGTCAAGGGGACACAGGTGCCGGATGGATGCCCTGAGCCTCCGTATAAGACAGCAGTCCCCATCTCTTTTGGCACCAGGGACCGGTTTCATGGAAGACAATTTTTCCATGGACTGGAGATGGGGGGAGGGGTGTCATGGGGAGGGGGAGGGTGCCAGGCTCAGGTAGTCATGGAAGGCCCATTTCCTAACAGGCCACAGATCCGTTCAGGGCCAAGGCCTGGGGGTTGGGGACCGCAGATATAAGAAATTTGATTACCCTGAGGCCACCATGCTGTGAGGAAGCCCAAGCTACACAGAAGCCACACTTAGATGGCTCCAGTGGGTGGTTCTAACCTTTGAGTCATCCCAGCCTCAGCTCTAGAATGAGTCATCGCACAGACGTCAGATCTTTCCAGCTGACGCTTTGGGCATTGTAGAACAGAGACAAGCCATCTCTACTGTTTCCTGTCTGGATTCCTGACCCACAACCATAATGAAATGGTTAAGCTGCAAAATTTTGGAGTAAATTGTTATGCAACAATAATAACTCAACAATAGCTTGAGCTATTGAGTGATAACTGTGTGCTTTGGTTTAAGTATTTTACGTGAATTAGGTCACTGTTAACCCTCACATCAGCCCAATGAGGTAAAGACCCTCACAGTTTACCCCCAGGGCAAAGGGAGGTGCCGTAACTTGCTTAAGGACACACACTGGTATATAATTGAGTTGAGGATTAAGCTGGCTATGAGGAAAGTAAGCTCCAGATGCCACGCTCTCAACCATCATGCTTTACCACCATTCCGGCATGGAGAAAGCCCATGGCAGCCTCTTGGCCACTGGCACACGACAATACCTTCTTCGCCCATGAACATCTGGCATTGTTACCAGGAGACCTGGCACAGCAAGGCCTGAGCTGTTCTATTCCTGTGAGATCATCTGCACGAGGTATCCAATGGGAAAGCGACTGATGTTCTTTGGTCTCTCGGCCGCATAGGGTCATGAGGATATCTGCATTCTTGCCGCCACGCTCTATCTCTTCCGCAGAACAGAGACTCTCTCTTTACGTGTTGCTCCCTGAGAAGAAGGGCAAGGTTCTAATTGGATGGTGTGGCGCCCGGTGATGCACACCTTCTGGTATTCATGCCCTAATGTCATCCCCTTCCCTTCTAGGTGTGCTACTAAGTGACTTACTTTTAATGAATAGAATACAGCAAAAACGGTGGATGACATTTTAGGATCAGGTTATAAAAGACGGTGATTTCCATCTTGCTCGTCTCCTGATGTCTCACTCTTTTGCTATGATGAAGCCACCTACGATGTTATGAGCTGCCCAACAGAGAGGCCCACGTGGCAAGAACCTGTTGAATCACATGGCTAATGCCTCCAGGTGAGGCCAGTGAGGGACTAAGGCCCATAGATCAACAGCCCATTAGGAACTAGATCCTCCCAACAAGCGAGTGATGAGTTGATTTTAAACTCTCTTTGAGCTTAAAGCTGTCCGGTGAGGTTTGGAATGTAACCTTCTGCGTGAGCTGTCATTGCTTACATACAAATGCAACTTTTCATCCTCTGATTCCCCAGTTCCCAAATTCAAACAAAGCAAATGGACATATTTCCGTCTATGTTTAGTTATTTGATCCTCGAAATTTCAATGTTCAAGTGGGATTGGAATTTATTGTTATTAATAGCTATAGGCACATAGGTACTCAGTAAACATTTGTTGAATAGATAAAAACATACTAAAAAAACTTAATGTTTTATTGGAGAGTGCCCCACAATAAATTCCTTTAAGAGACCCCTCCCCCCAAAAAAGCAAATCTTCCCCCAGGCCAGCCCGGAGATGACTGTAGTCCCGGATAACACCTTGATTTCAACCTTGCAAGAGACCGAGCTCTTCTTGCTCAGAGCTAAGCTGTGCTCAATTCCTGATCCCGGTCACATTGTGATAAATAACTAATACATGTTTCATTATTGTTAATCATTTTGATCAAGAAAAGGAGATGGATCACCTCAAAGGAGGAAGTAGGGACGAGGTGATATCTACACAGACAATGCAGGGCTTATGCGCCCTTGCTAAGACGTGGGGGGCCTTGAATCTCTCCTTCCCTTGCACAGTTAACCATCAGAAGCTGGGAAATCGGTGAGAGTGATATCTGACAATACTTCATGTGATCTTAAGGGACTTTGCTGAATACAGGATGCTCAGTTAAATGTGAATTTCAGATAAACAACACAGGACACGCTCCCTGCTGCTCTCCACGCAGCCTCCTCTGTGAAACTTTCTCCTTTTGCTCCTTCCCTCTTCTCTGTGGCTCAAGGATGGTGACCGCTCCAGCGCTCCCCTCCCCAGGGTCCAAGCCTATACTGGGCTTGGACTCTTGCAAATAGCGCTTTATCCATGCTCTGCCTGCTCCTCTGTTACTGAATGCTGCTCAGCTGACTTGAAACAATCACAGGTGTGTCACCTATCTAGGCGACACTTTAGTTTGCGAAATCTTCACATGGTTAACTAACGTTCTATAAGAACCCACGAGGCCAGTATAATTAATCCTGTTTTACAGCTGAGGAGGCTGAAGTAGGGTTTTTTCAGCACTACCGACGACATTTTAGACGGAATAATTCTTTGCTGTAGGAAGCTGCTTTGTGCACACAGGATGTTGAGCAGCATCGCTGGCCTCTGCCCACTAGATGGCAGCACCCTCCCTCGCCAAATGTTTCTTAAGAGGCAAAATCACCTCCATTTGAGAACCGTTGGGTGAAACGGATGCGTGTAGCATGATGGTTATGAATATAAGCAGAGGTACTATATGCAATTTCTTGAAAGTGTCTTTTTTTTAAAGCATGCAACGAAGTTTATTGAGGAAGGACAAGGTAGGTTTATAGAGCAAGAGCAAGATAATAGTTTCACAGAGCAAGATACATTCGCCACAGATAATAAACCGGCCCACCCTGTCGTAACAAAACAGTTTGAAAGTGTCTTTTAAGCCAGCCAGAATGCAGTCATGATTGGTGGAGCTCTGGCAGCCATTTTGGACCTTGAGACTAGAAACACATCAGAACAACACTACAGCAGGAACCTAGGTCCTAACTCCTGATAGTGGCTCCAGCTTTGGACCCACTGTCTCTATACTTCAAAGATAAAAGACTAGATGAGTCACTGCTATTTTGGGGTTTTCTGCTATTCACAAATGAAACAGATCCTTTCTAGGATGTTTTAACAATAAAGGGATAGAGTAGAGAAAATATGGTAAAAAAAAATCATTATACAATATATCATTACAGGTGTGGTGGCTCACACCTGTAATCCCAGCACTTTGGGAGGCCAAGGTGGGATGATTGCCTGAACCCAGGAGTTTGAGACCAGCCTGGGCAACATGGCAAGACCCCATCTCTACAAAAAATTTTAAAAAATTAGCTGGCTGTGGTGATACTCATCTGCAGTCCT